GCAGGGGGTGGGAGCAGGGCTGCACTGGGGGGGCAGCGCCCACCCCCCACCCCTACCTCCTCTTGTCCTTGATGCTGTAGTGCAGCAGGAGGGGTGCGGGCTGTGGGACACAGTGGGGTCAGGGCTGTGGGATCCCAGCCCAGGACCTGCCCTGAGGCAGGGACCCCATAATCCCAGCCCAGGGACACCAAACCCCAGGGTAGGCTCCCTCTCCCTCAAACCAGAACCGCCCCCATGACCCCAAAACCCAGCCCCTAACCCCAAAACCCAGCCCAGGACTCCTCCTCAGGGCAGGGATTTCAAACCTCAGCCCAGGGACCCCCCAATCCCTGTCCATGACCCCAACCCACAGCCCAAAACCCCCTTGGAGCAGAGGCCCCAATCACCAGTCTAGAAGTCCCCTAGGACAGGGACCCCCAATCCCAGCTCAGGGACCCCCCGGGACTCCACCCTGAACTTGGCCAACCCCTTTGGGACCCCCCAGATCACCACTGACATTAAACACCCTCAATCCCCCAACCCCACACTGCCCCAAACCACCCCTGGAGGGTCTCTCCCCAAACCCCCTGACTGGGTGAACCCCAAAATCAGAGGTTCCCATCCCCTCYGAGGCTCACCTTGCCGAACCAGCGTGAGAGCCAGAGCTGCTTCATTGTCATGTGGTCAGGGAGGGACTCGTTGTCAAACAGGATCTGAACCTGCACAGGAGGCTGTGTCACAGGACACCCCTGGAGGCTGGGACCCCCCAAATCCCCCCAGAACCCTCACTCACATGCTGCAGGGGCAGCCCCAGCCGGTGGCACAGGACCCTCCGCAGGTGTCGGATCTGTGCCCGCACCGAGCACCTCACGTACTTCTGCTGTGGGGGCAGAGCGGGTTGGGGGGCTGTGGGGGTCTCTGGGGACCCCATGTTCCCCCCAGGACCCCACACACCCCTGCTGGGGCCAGGGTGGGAGCTTGGGGTCAGGGGTCGGGGTGGCAGCAGGGACCCCCACTCACCTGCAGCACAGCCTTGCTCTTGTCCTTGCTGGAGCTGCGGGGGCAAGAAAAAAGGATGTGTTTGCAAGGTCTCAGTGGTGGCAGCTATGCCCACTGTCCCCTGTGTCCCCTCCCTGCCCCACTGAGGGGCTGCAGACCCCTTGAACTCACCTCAGCTTCTCCAGGCAGAGCGAGACGTGCTCGTCGTAGCGGAAGTAGTGGGCACGCGAGTGGTCAAAAGTGCTGTATGGGAGCCCCATGGGGTCACCTCCCACAGTGTCTGGGGACACAGGTGGCACCRTCAGCCCCCTGTGCCCCTGGCACCCCCCAGCACTGCGGCTGGCCACCCCCAGAGCCCTCTGTCCCACCGTCACCGCTRGGCTGTGTCACCCGGTCGAGGCCACGGGACTGGTAGAACTCCCGGATCCGCTTCTCCTCACCTGCCAGGGAGAGGTGGCTCAGGGACACACCTGGCTGTCCTTGGGCCACCCCTGCTCCCACTGCACCAAGGGCCTGCCATGGACCCTGTCCCTGTTCCCATCCCTGTCCCTGTCCCCATCCAGCTTCCTGTCCCCGCCCTGTTCTTGCTTCTGTCCCTATTTCCATCCCCATCCCTGACCCTGTCCCCAGCACCATCCCTGTCCCCATCCCTCCTCCTGTCCCTCTCCCCACCCTTATCCCCATTTCCATTACCATCCCAGTCCCCATTCAACTCCCCATCCCTGTCCCTGTCCTCACCCCCGTTCTTTGCTTCTGTCCCTATTTCCATCCCCATCCCTGACCCTGTCCCCATCCATGGCCATCCCTGTCCCCATCCCTCTTCCTGTCCCTCTCCCCACCCTTATCCCCATCTCCATTACCATCCCAGTCCCCATTCAACTCCCCATCCCCTTCCCTGGCCCTGTCTCCATCCTCATTCTGCCCCTTGTCTCCATCCCCTGGCTCTGTCCGTGTCCCCCTAACTGCCTTGTCCCCATCCCTGTCCCCATCCCTGTCCCCAAATGCCCCCGTACTGTGCTGCAGGCCGGGCACCAGCTTGTAGACGATGTCCTGCATGACCCGGTCCAGTTTAAGGTTGAGCAGCGGCTGAGTCTCGTGGATCTTGGTGTTGCACATGGGGCAGTAYTTGCTGGTCTGCAGGTACTTCACAATGCAGCTCTTGCAGACTGGGGACAGGGACAGGTGTGAGGGGACAGGGGGGACTGGGATCGCACCCCCACAGGATTTAGAGCCCCCCCAGCCCCCCTATCCACTCACAAGTGTGCAGGCACTCGGTGATGGTGGTGGCGTCGATGAAGTACCCGGCGCACAGGAAACACACGATGTGCTCGTTCAGCTCCTTCATCTTCACCTTCACCTCCTCCTGCAGGGACACCTCGCTGTCACCTGGAGTGTCCCACCACCACCCTCACCTGCCACCTGGAGACCCCTGAGACCTCTCTCATCTTTCACCTGGAACCCCTTAGCCCACGGAGCTTCTCCTGCCATTCCCTTAATATGCCAGAAAATGAGATTTTGGGGGGGGTTGCACCTCTTGTTTTCCTATAACATGCCAGAAAACGGGATTTTGTAAGGATGGCCCCCTGTCTTCTCTTATTACACCAGAAAATAGGATTTTGAGAGGCTGGGCTCCGCGTCTTGCTTTAMTATACCAGAAAACAGGATTTTGGGGGGCCATGCCTCCTGTTTTCTTTTATTATGCCAGAAAACAGGATTCCGGGGTGCTGTATCCCATCTTGCCTTAACACGCCAGAAAACGGATTTTATGGGACTGACCAGCGTGTATTCCCTTCAAACGGGATTTGGTGGGGCTGAATACCACATTTTACCTTACTGTGTCAGAAAATGGGATTTTTTGGGTCGGGGGATACCGCTACCCCGGTGCCTGCCCCGCCCTGRCCACGCCCCCTTTTCTGRCCACGCCCCCCGCACGCCCCTCGGTCTCACAGCGCCCCCCAGCGGCGCCGCCGCGGCACCTCCCGCCCCC